CCCCCCCTTCCTTTTTTTTTTTTTTTTTTTTTTGGCAGCTAGCTGGTACAGACAAATGCCTCCTCTTCTGCACCTACCACTTGGGCACCATGTTACTCCAGCCCCCTCTGCTTTATCTCCTCAGACCCTTCCCCTGTCACCCAAGCCTGGCCCTGACTCCCTAGTACTCCTCCTGTGTCCACTTATTACGATCCTTCCCCTGATGCCTAAGCCACTCCTCAGACTGCAGGTTCCCCTTAGCATTCGTCCTCATCATCTCAACTCCATTCCTGGAACCGTCTTATCTTATCTCTGCAGCCCTGAAACCCCTCCCCACCACTGCCAGTTCATCAGTCCTGCCTGCCCTTGTCCGACTGTTCCTCAGCCCCTCAAGACAACTCCTCCACCTCGCCACGGTCCTCTCAGTCCCTCCTGCAGTTCTGGCTGGGCCCTTCATCCCTCAGCCCCCACTGTAGAACCACCCCACATCTCATCCAGTGCTCTGGATCCCCTCGGCCCCTCCTCATGCCCTGTCCGGCTTTCACTGTCCCCTTGACCCCACTTCAGGCCCTATCTGGCCCTCACTGTCCCCTCGGCCTCTCCTCAGGCCTATTTGGCCTTCGCTGCCCCAGGGCCCCACCTCAGGTGCTGTCCGGCCCTCTCCATTCCCCTTGGCCCCACCTCAGGCCCTATCCCGCCTTCACTGTCCCCCTCAGTCCCTGCTGGGCCGCCCAACAGCCCATCCAGCGCTGTCCGTCCCCTCCGCCGGGCCATCAACCTCCCTGGTAGTCATCCCCAACCCTCCCCGCCTTCTCGCTTGCGCACGGCCGGCCGGACACTCACTACTCCTTGAGCAGCACCATGTCGCTTCACGGCTCAGCGGCTGCCTTCGGCCCGCCCGGCCTCCCGCCCGCTTCCCCGCGGCCGCTCTCCCCGTGGCCCGGCTGCCTGTGCGTCTTTGTCGTGGTCTGCTCCGTCCCTGCCGCTCTCGCTGCGGTCGCCTCGCCGGCTCCTGCCGCCCCGGCCTCCCAGCCTCGCGCGCCGCTGCCGACGCCGCCCGGAGCTCCGGTTCCGCAGCGCCGCGCGGGGGCGGGGCGTCTCTGCGGCAACCAGAGCGTCACACGCAGCGGTGCGCGCTGACCTCAGCGAGGAGGCGGAGCCTTCCCGGGTCCGCCCCCTCCCGTCCTTAAATGGGCCGCGGCGTAGGCGTCTGCGCCCAAGGGGTCCCCGGGGTGCGCAGGACCGGGACGGTAGGCCAGGCGGAGCAGACAGTTAGGTGTCCCGCAGGTCTTTAGGTGTGAATGCGTTTCTGCAGCCGGAAGGGATGCAACTGTAGGCTTGGGCCTTCCCGGTGGGGTGGATCGAGACCCAGGAAAAGGCTGTATCAAAAAAATATCAATAATAGCCAAATGTATGTGCAAGTGCTTGATTCCTCACAACACCTCTAGCAGAAGGGCACTATTACTATTCCCGTTTTATGAGTGAGGAGCAGGAGGTAGAGGATAAAATATTTGTTCAAGTCCGCAGCTAGTATGTGATGGAGCTGAGATTTGAACCCAACAGTCTTAGTGTAATGTCATTCATCCAGTAGATATTTGCTGAGTGCCTGCTGTATACCAAAGCCTGTGCTTTGCTGAGAGAGTGAACAAGGCAGATACTTTCTAGCCCAGGGTCAAGTCAGGGGTGGGTAGGTGTGTGGCTGGAGGAGACAGAGGCAGGCAATTAGAATGAAAAGGGGCTGTGAGAGGTGAAACACAGGTTTGGTGGGATTACACTGGAGGCGGAGGGGCACCTTACTGAGTGTGGGGGCGTAGTCAGGGAAAGCGTCCTGGAGAAAGAGATTCTAAACTGAGATCTGCAAGGGGCTGGGGAGGAGAAGAGAGTAGCAGGCAGAGTAAAGGCAAAAGCTGGAGCCAAGATGATGCATTTGGGGGAACTGAGATAAGTGACCTGAGCATAAAGTGTGGGGGCCGAGAAACTGCAGGAGGTGGGGGGAGGGTTGGGGCCAGGTAATGAAGTTCTTGGTGGGTGCTGATGAAGTGTTTGGAGTCCATCCTAAGGACCATGGGAGAGCATTTGAGGGTTTTGAGCAATGATGTGAGCAGGCTTAGTGTGTGAAGGCTCACTCTGATGGCTAAGTGGGGGAGAAGGGATGGAGTGGGCCAGAGAGGCAGGGAGACTAGTTAGGAGGCTGCTGCAGAAGTCCAGGTGAAGGTGGACTAGGACAGTGGTGGGAGGGAAGAAAAGGAAGGGATGAATTCAGGAGCAACTCAGAAGGTAAACTCAGCAAGATGTATTTACTACTTGCCTGAGAGAGTGAGAGTGAAAGAGGAGGTGAGAAAACCACCTAGGTTTCTGGCTGGGGAGCCTGGTGGGTGGTACTGCCTTCACTGAGAACCCAGGAAAGGCAGGTTGGCACAGACAGATAATGACTCCAGTGTTGGACTCATGGAGTGCAGGGTGCTCGAGGAGCATCCTGTGAGATGGTGAGTGGGCTGCCCAAGATAGGGACTTGGGAAGGGAGGGTGGAGCAGGTGGCCATATTGCTGTCAAGCCAACTGTGCCCCAGGACCACCCTGAGTATTGCTCGTGTTGGCCACTCATTCACCAATCCTAGAGTGGGAATATAGAAAGCTCCAGAAATCCAAGCCCAAGCCACTGAAGGGAAGTACGAGAAAGGAGATACATTATGACCCAAAATCCAAGGTTAAGTAAGTTGCTGGGACCCTAGTCCCCTGACCCCCTAGCATAGGGCTTTTCCCCCTACATAATTATCAATGAATGGTTATTTAACAAATGCCATGCTCTGGCTCTCTCCAGGAAGTAACCAAATCCTGCCCTCTGGGAGCTTGCAGTCTAGTTGGGAAAACTACATTTATTCATATACTCGTTGACTCATAAATATTGATTGAACACTTGGCCCTATCCTGGTTCTTTTTCTAGGCACTTTAGGATACAAGGGTGACTGAGAAAAATGAGGTCCTTCCCTTGCTGAGTGGGGGAAAGCAGAATATAAACATATACAGAAATCACTTTGGGTAATGGTAAATGTTATGAAGAAGCTGAACAGGTAACTCTGGCCTTGGCACCTGCATTAGTCAAGTGGTCAGGGAGGACTCTTGGAAGAGGCAGTGTTTACACTGAGACCTGAATGAGGAGAGGAGTTGTTGCTAAGCTAGCTCCTGAGTTGATAAGAGTTTTGTTGAGATGAGATTAGAGGGCTGTGCTGGGCGTTAGGGGGAAATAAAAAAAAAAAAAAAAAAAAAACATAAAAATACGTGAGGAACAGCCTCTGCCCTCCAGGAGCTCATGGAGAGGAGACCTTGCATTTGTAGAAAACTGTGATTAGCTTGTGATAAAGAGGAACGGTGCTGGAGATGCTTCAAGGAGCTGCAGGAAGCTCCCAGGACATGGGGGACTTGAGCCAGATTTGTCTTAGAAGAGGGAATGGATTCTCCCGAGAGAACTAGCAAAGGCAAAGGTGCAGGGGCAGGATTCTGTGTGGGCGGAATGGGAGGGGTGGGCTGGGGTGGGGCAGAGCATGCTGGTTACAGCATGAGTGGGCACACTGGCGGAGTTGGGTGTAGGGCCTTTGGGGGTTAGGGGGAAAAAAAAAAAAAAAAAAAAAAAAACATAAAAATACGTGAGGAACAGCCTCTGCCCTCCAGGAGCTCATGGAGAGGAGACCTTGCATTTGTAGAAAACTGTGATTAGCTTGTGATAAAGAGGAACGGTGCTGGAGATGCTTCAAGGAGCTGCAGGAAGCTCCCAGGACATGGGGGACTTGAGCCAGATTTGTCTTAGAAGAGGGAATGGATTCTCCCGAGAGAACTAGCAAAGGCAAAGGTGCAGGGGCAGGATTCTGTGTGGGCGGAATGGGAGGGGTGGGCTGGGGTGGGGCAGAGCATGCTGGTTACAGCATGAGTGGGCACACTGGCGGAGTTGGGTGTAGGGCCTTGAATACCAAGCTAGAGAAGTGTCCCTCTGTTCCATGGGCAGGGGAGCCATTGGAGGGCCTTAGGAACCCCTTCCTCATCTCCCAGAGTCAAATGCTGTTGAGATTTTGCCCCTCTTACTTCATCTCTTTTCAGTTCTAAAGAATTTTAAAGCTGATCTCAGACATTGTGTCATCTCGCCCCTCCATGTTTCAGCGTGCCTTCTAGAAATGTCAATATTTTCTTACAAATCCACAATGCCGTTATCATACTTAATAAAATTAATAATAATTTTTTGATTTTTATTTCATCCCCAGTTCATGTTCAAATTTCCCTGATTACCTAAAAAAAATGTTATAGTTTCTTTTAGAGAAGTTCAGTATCCAAACAAGGTCCACGTATTATTTTTTTTCACATTTTACTTTGAGTTCTGTTTCTTACGTCTCTTACTCTAGCAAGTTTGCTTCAGGTATGCATTGGGGTTAGCCGTTCGCTGCGGGGGCTATGCCGCTCTCTAACTGTGCCTTGCAGGGAACCAGCAGCCCCACTCTGGGAACAGACCCCCTGGTGCCTGATGCCTTGGACTCCAGCCCTACCACTTCCTACCAGTGTGACCTCGTATAAGTCACTTAACCTCTCTGTGCCGCAGCTTCTTCATCTGTGAAATGGGGACAGTGATAAGCCCCTGCCTCGTGGGATTGCTGGGACTCATTAGATGGGGCAATGTGCGTAAAGCAATTTTGCACCATGCACAGCACATTTGCATATTATTATTATTGAGGAAAGTGTGTTGTGAGGAAGGAGGGACGGACACCACTGCCCCTCAAAACTGCTTCTGCATGCATCAGGCTGAAAGGAGGAAAGAGAACAAAGTGACTCGGGAGTGTCGCGGCTGTCGTCTCTCTGCGTCTCTCTGTCTTTGCCTCGCTCCGTCTCTCCTGCTCCACTGCGCCTCTCTGTCCTCTTTCTAGCTTCCTCTCTGTCTCTCTTTCCCTCTCTCTCTTTCTGTTCTCCGTCTCTCTGTCTCTCTCCTGCCTCCTCTCTCAGCATTCCTCTGTCTCTCGTTCCTCCCTTCCTGTCTCCCCTCTCTGGGCATTTCTCTCTCTCCTCGCTGCGCTCTCAGTCTTCCTTACTGTGCTCAGGGAAATGCGCCCTTGGCCTGTGTTTCTTCTCTTTGCAGCTGTCTCCTTTCCCCTGTCTGCTCTCTCTGCTCTGTCTTGGGCTCTCTCTCCCCTTTGTCTTTGTGTGTGTGGATCTCCGGGTTCCAGCCCCTGCACGGTGTCTCTGGCTGGCTGGCCCTTGTGGCCTTGCTCGCAGCTGCACCTGTAACCCATCTCTGGGTATCTCACGGAGACTGTGTTTCACTGTTTCCGCCTTCTGCTCTGTCCCTTCCTGGCTGGGGAGAGCATGCTCTTCTTCCAGCCTCAGTCTCAGTCTGTTTTAGCCTCTTTTCTGTTTATTTCTGTCTGTCTGTCTGTATCTCTTTTTAAATATCATCCCCCGAATATTTATTGAGCAGCTATTCCATGCCAGACACTGTTGTCAGCACTGCAGGTAGAGTGGTGACCGTTGTGGAGCATTTCAAGGAGCACTCGTTCCAGTGGAGAGATAGACACGTGACCCTGGCTGCCCAGCTCGGTCCCCTGGGCAGAGAGAGCAGTGGGCAGGCCTGGCAGGGGAGAGACTCAGGCCTGTGAGAGTGAGCTGGCTGTGCTCTGAGCTTCTCCTGACATCCCCCGTCCCTAGGTAGGGACTGTGGGCTGCTCAAGAGTGTTAGAGATTAGAGTGTGGGACCCATTAGCCTGCTCAACAACATTCATTATGAGCCAGGCTGGAGGAGACAAAAGTAAAGCAAAAAAGCCCCCAGCCCATGTGAGGCCACAGTCTGTGCGGGAGACAAAGGTAATACCTGCTGGAGCAGAGGAAAGAAACAGCACATGCTTCGGGCACTCACGAGAGGTCAGGAAGCCTTTACCTCCTCCTCTTCCCTCTCCCTACCTCTGACAGTATTTGGCCTACATAGGGTTAAAAAGGACTTGAGCAGCTGTCTTTTATATATATATATATATATAGATCATTTGAGCCAACATTTGAAAATGGGGATATTTTATATAAAGCTCAGGATTTCCTGCTTCTCTTGAAAAACATCA